GATAATTGGATTGTGTGAAAACATCCTCCTCCTGTGTCAGTGAGAGCAGCCTCACATCTTATGAAATAGTTGAACACAGAGAACAGACTCACTCCTGACCCCTGTCACCCTGCTCACACCTTCATGTGCAGTGCAGCTCCCTCAGCCCACTCACACAACCTGCTCCACAGAACCAGCCTTCTCCACATTCATTCAAACCAAAGCTGCCTCTCGATACCCATAGTTACGCTTTGACTCGGTGCTTAGTATTTTAATGCTTAACTGATTGAGTGTGTGTGTGTGTGTGTGTGTGTGTGTGTGATGGAGGATGAGCACCAGAAAACAACACCAGCCGCTGTGTGTTGAAACTAAATGAGGCGACTCTGGTTTAGCTGGTAGAACGGGTCGTCCAACACCTACCAGAAGGTCGGTGGTTTGATCCCAGTGTCTTTGGCAAGTGAAGAAAGAGAAAGTGCTGCACTTAGATGGTATGATGCACTGCCTGAACGGGTGAATGGTAAAGTGCTGTATAACTAAAGACCGTTTACAAAACCTGAATGTAGACTGTGATGCTGATTGAAGATAATTAACATCCAAAAAACACTTATCCTCCGAGCTGGGTGATAAAATGTTTACCTGCATCTGAGGGGAGCATTTGTAGCAAAACAAAATAATCTCAGGCCAGGTCGTCTGTGCTGTGATGAGAAAACCACACCGTGTAAATCAGCCAGAGTTGCAGAGCTCACGTGGACGTGCACAGAAATGAATGTTTTCTAACCGGAGCAGCCCCATGCTCACTGTCCACATACAGTCATTTCTTTGCTTTGTTCCCAAAACATCTCTCGAAGCACGAACCACAAACCATGAATCAGCATTACGCCCACTGACAGCAGGTGTTTATCACGGCGAACAAGCAGAACATGGCATGTGAGGTCGTTTTAAAGAGTGTTATTACAGTTTGAGCTGACAGTAGTTTTTCACAGGCTGTGGGAAAACGGCTCGGCTGTAAATCGACTGTAAAACCGTGCTAACTGGCCTTTTATTAAGTGAATCACTCACCACAATGAAAAAATGATTTATTACATGTAAACATCCTGCATTTAAAATGTTAGTCTGGTAAAAATACATATGAAATGTGGTAGAACTGACCTTTATTCAATGTATCAAGGGTGCTCATTATGCAGCAGAATGAGTCATGGTGAGGTAAATGCATATGGATCATGACAGGCATGTGTGAGGAGTATTTTAATATTGTAGCTGGTTGAGGAGGGATCAGTTAAACTTATGATTATTATTGTCAACTACCTAAGTCTGTATGTATCTATAATGTCAGTAATGCATACTGACATTATAGATATATTTTTATTAAGTAGTATTATTCTACAAGTATGTCTGTTTCCATTCTTTCTGCTAATTTAAGATAATAACTAACTTGTAACTGTAACTGTAACCAGAGATGTATAAATGAATTATAAAGTATAAAATATATACCTCTGAAGTTGAGGAGTGGCATAGAATGGTCAAGTTCAAATAAATCAAAATAATATAATCGGTAGCTTGTTCATATTCCAGTCGTGGTTGAGTCATCAGGCTGTGGAGGCTCCTCGTCACAAAAAGCTGCTCCTCCTCCCTCCCTCCCTCCACCTGCCCTTCGCTTTCTTAAAATGATCGTTGTGATAATTGGCCGCTTGCAGCCCACTCCCTCCCTTCTATTATTTATACTGTGTGTGTTACTGTGTGGATTTAGCTCTTGCTGTGTGCTCGGGGGGGGGGGACTTACAGTATAGTCAACTAATGCAAACACTTTTTTTCAAATACACTCTCTTTCTGCACTCTTCAGACTTAAAGGTCGAGTGTGTAAGATTTAGGTGAAAGGGAACTATTGGAAGAAATTTAATGTAGAATAATCCTCATGTTTTTACTAGTTCATTTCATGTAAATTGTATGAATTGTAGTTTTCTTTACCACAGAAAAGTCCCTTTATATTCAAATGCTTTATATTTACATAGATGGGCTCCTCTCTACGGAGGCCGCCATGTTTTTTACATTAGTCCAGACTGGACAAACTAAACACCTTTTGAGTTTTTATGACAATTAAAGGCTACCACAGAGTAAATATAAAGTATTTAAATATCCTTCTAGGGTGAAGGAAACAACTAGTTTAACAATTGAGATGAAACCCACCAGTGAAAACATCACTAGGATTATTTTATTAGGTTAGTATTATTATCAGCTTAGTGTTGATAACAGAATACATGTATCTCTATTTCAAGATGTCTTTTAAAAAAAACTCAAGATAAAATAATCCTTCATTAGTCCTCCGTGGGGAAGTAGAAGTCAAAATAAACATGTCTTCATCATAGAATGATTCTTGTTATCTGTTATGGGTATTGTCAATGGAATTATGTCCTCACAACATGAGTAATACCTGGACCACACACACACACACACACACACACACACACACACACACACACACTCTCTCACACAAACGCATGTGTTAAAGGCAGATGGAGCCATGCACTGGGACTAAAATAGAAAAAGATGGCATTTTGTATATGAGAGCAAAAGCAGAGAACAACCCTGTGGGCACACACCAGAAACACACTGTTGTATATGGACAATGGCCAAGTTTTGTTTTGGTCATTCTTTTATGTTTGAACTCCCACAGTTTTTAAAATAGTCCCATCAGTTGGTCTGAATTTTGACATCTACTGGGTTTGCATTCATGTCTGTCTATTTTCTGTCAGATGAAAGTGTGTGTTTGATATTGAGTGGTTGTGTTGTGTTATCAGTTGACATGAGTGTGTGCCCACTTACTGAAGAATACAAAAATAAAGACGTACAAACCTGGTAAACTAAAAAAGAAGAAACCAGTTCTTACAATGCCTGAACAACTGTGTGCAAAAATAAAGCGTGTCCTTTTATAGGTCACGTTGCCAAACCTCCCACAATGCAATTCATTAGTGTCTCACTGCCTGGTAAAGTGAGAGAACCCTGATGATATCACAAAGGTTGGACATGATACTGTACCACCGCTTTACCAGGCAGTGATCTGACCTTCATGAATGGCCTGATTAACCTGCTCGAGGGCCCCGGGGCAAACATTTGTTGTTGGTCCCCTACTGACCCCCACTACACATGGCCCTTTAATTATGTCTCCAGGCAACTGAAAAGCTGACTATATTTTTAATATTTTTTGTCATTTCAGCAAAATGTCAAAAAGTCGATGGTACCAGTTTCTCATATACACGTTTGTTATTTTTAGCAGTTTTATATGATATTTTAGGTTTTTAACGACAAGCCATTACAATTACTTTTTGATGTTTTCGGAACAGTCACTTATTTAAGAAGATAAATCTCAGATATATATAGAGAGAAGCTCCTGTAATGGAATAATATTGCCCTGCATGAGATGAAAATCTTAAACTAGACATTTTGCCAGTCGTCACCACAAGGCTGGAAGATCACGAAGGTCTTATTATAACTGCTTTTAAACAAACAACTGATATATTCTACTTTCATTTAAATGTGCAGATTCTAAATCCACTGTTTTATCTCTGATGGACGTGGTCCAATCAGGGGCCTCATAAATACTCGGCACATGTCACAATAATGATTCCCACTCCAATAGATGTCGCCTGTGGTGATGAGTCATAATGTGAAACATAAAAACAACAACCTAAATAAAGCGATTTAAGGAATTGTCATGAAATCATGGATTACATGATGAAAATGTAACATCCAGATTGATTCAGGAATTATTCTGCGAGTTGGTTTAATGTCTTCTGTCTCCGTTAAGCTGCTTTCACACAAGCATGGAACTCTCTGTGTGAGATAACCTCCAGAAAATGTTCCGACCCAATTGTCAATTGAGTTCATGTCTGAAAACGGCTTTAGTGTCCTGTTGAGATTCCTGTCAGAATTTGAGTTTCCAAGTCGAGCCGAGTGTTTGTCATGAACCTGTCCCAGGTCGGCCTGTGACTGAATCACAGCATCAGATATGCAGTGTGTGATTCAATAGATTCTCACATTAGGAGGAAAGCTGTGAAATAAAAGAGCTTACACATTGGTAACTCCCCAGTGACCCCATTTCACAGAGCTCACTTCACAGAGCTCACAGTGATGCTTTTCCTTTTCATTAAAGAATAATCTTGATATAAGAAACCAAGAGCAAAATCAGATATAAAAACTGTGCCCTCCACCTTTGTTTGTTTACTTATCAGTGTGACAGATTTGAGGCTGCTGTCTTCACTTCCTCTATTTCCCTCCTGAATGTCAAACAGAAGGACGATGCAGGTCGTTTGACAATGATGTCTGTCCTACTGTTTGAATTTCTGGATGATCCAAACTTGAGCGTATGTAAAGATGAACGACACGTCTCCACTTCCTTCCAATGTAGAAAATGAAAACACATACTCAGGATACGAGGGCCGCCATCTTGTATATTTTGTCCTAATATGGAGTCTGGCCAGTAGTGAAGCCACGATATCAAAGTCCCGTCGAAAGATGCTCTCAACCAATCATGAAACATTTCAACCTGTTTTTATCACATCAAATACAATAATTTAAACCCACTCTCCGTTAATAAACTACTGCACATCGTTGCTAAGTGGCGCAGGTATTCAAATTCATACATTTGAGGACGATCATTTATTTTATCTGCCTCATTAATTTAATGTACTGCTGTACCCTGAACATGAGATGTGACATTTAGGAAGCGAGTGCTTCCTGGAAAATGTCTATTTGTGTTTTAGCTTTTGCATCTATCGAAAAAAGAAGACATGGCCACTGTCCAGCACCATGAGTCACACAGTCTACAATACTGTGGTAGGAGGTGTGTGGAGGAAACACAGTCCAAGCCTTGATT